TCAGAAATAAGTTAGAATCTAACCTTAGTACTGGACGAATTTAACTGACTAATCTTATTACCAATATCAGTATAGCTTTGCTGAAACTCCTTTTCTTGCTCTAAACATATGTCTTGCAGGTTTCTATATTCATTAGCAAAATCAGTAACAGATTTGCTACTAATGCGCAATGCCCCCTCAAGCTCCATTTCATAGGCACTACCAAGACGATGGCCTGAACTAAGATCTTTCATAGTATGCACATTGGTCATGACCTACTTTCGTATACACTTTGATAGTGGAAAAAAAATATTTTCGGACATTATCTTAGAAATTTCAGTCATATGATTTTTAGATAGATGCCTCATTGTTGAAATTTACCAAGAACTTGATATTTTTTTTGAATCATTATTGTACCAATATTTAACCAGTATCTCACCAATATAAAATTGATAAAGTATCTAAATTATATGCGTTTTATTCCTATTTCTATTTGGATCAGAGCTACAGCAGACTTGCGCAATATTTATATTAGTATAAAATCGATGTCAAATAGATGGTGAATAAATTTTTTATTAATTTTTTATCAGTTTTTTATTGGTTTTCTATTAGTAATATATTAGAAACATATAGATTCAGTATGAGTAAAAAACAACAGCTTGTGCTCGTAAATTTCTCAGATCAGATGCCAGACTCTTATCGCCTGAAGCCATAAAAGAAATCAGAAATGCTCCTAAAAATATTCCAAATGCTCAAAGTATTATGTGTAAAAGACATCGTATAGGAGCAGAAACATATAAAAAAATCATTAATAATTAAAGGCCTTCTATACCAACAGAGAAATAGCGTAGCATTGTAGAATCCGTTAGCATTTCTGTCAATAAAAATCCTTTTCTTCATTCACGTGAAGTGCCTTTTGACCAGAATTCAGAAGATAATCAGAAATCTTCACATAATTCTTCTTCCTTCTCTAGTGATTCCATGCGAACACAGATAGATAAAAAGAAATCCAAGTCTGTTCGTATTTCTGATAGTAAAGATTTATTAGAAAAGGTAGATGGAGGGTTAGAGATAAAAAAAGAACAAGTATCAAAAATACCACCATCTTCCAATCCATTGCCCATTGTTCTGCAAGATTCTGAAGATGCTTTGGAAATGTTTAAGAAGGCGCAAAATGGAATGGAAAAGACTGTGGCAAAAGGTCGTGCACTTGCATAAAAAATGACTACTGGGACTTAGCTTACTATCGCTCATACCATTCACAGAGATTATTATAGTGTCCCATGATTTCCAAATTCGATTGAACACTAGTAAATAACACCTTCTCAAGCTCTTTCACACGAATTGCCATATCCTCATAACTCACTTTTTTTAAATGTATCATTATTCTCACTTATCATTAAGGCACTTTGCAAGTCTTGCTCCTTTTCTATAGTAAAGACATTGCATTGGGATTTGTGAACTGATAGGGGATGGTAATAGTTTTTCCGTTACATGTGGCCTTAAATTCTCCTTTTATTAAAGACTCCAACCAGCACGATATTGCCATTGAGTATCAAGAATTACTAAAGATTTAGCATTTCCATTCTGATCCTTTTCTGCAGGTACAACAGAAACTTCATTCGTAATAGTGGCTGTATTTTCTCCTGAACCAATTGTTATGGAAATATCCTCCATAGTACTAATGGATAGGGATTTGCTTGTAACTCCATTAAGCGCATGGATCTTTTTCTTATTAATTTTGATACCCAAAAGCTCTTCAACTAATTCCGCAATATTATCTGAAAATATAGAAGAATCTGATCCTATATCAATCATTGCATAAGGTATTTCCAAACCTCCTATTTTACAATAAATAGTCGCAACATCGTCGGCATCCTTTATTTGTAAAAAATTTATTTCTAAAGGCTTAGACCAATATATTTGGCTATTTTTTTTTGAGCTAATGCATAAGCCTTGATAGCATGTTTTAGCCGGATGCTCTCTGGTAGAATATCGCTAGAGGAGGTAGTATTAATTTCCTTAATTTTAGATGAATCAGCCATAACTATATCTTCTTTTGGGCTAGAAGCAATCGGGACAGATTTATTATTTTCTGGAACTTGTAAAAGAGGTTTCTGCTTATTATTTACTACCTGTAATAATGGAAACAAGATGTCTTGGAATTTACTTGCAACGTTTCCCCATGCTAATTCCCTTCTTTTAACCGTATTATTCAACATAACAGTATTTAAGCAATGGTCTTTTATTTTGGTAAATATCATATTAATAAATTTTGAAATTTCTATAAGAATCTCTCTAGGACAATAAGAGACTAATGATGATATTGTAGATTTTAAGACTATTTGAAATATATAATATTCAGCCATAACTATATTGCTAGTATAAGACTTGGAAGTAGGGGACTTCTTGGTTGCTCTTTCTTTCGTCTTGGTACTCTTTTTCATAGGTACTCCACTTCGCACCACTTTTTTTTTGATGCATAGCAATTTCGAGGTTCGTCATCATTTTCATCAACATATTCGACATATTCGATATCTTCTTCTATTTTCTCTTTTTCGGGATCCTCTTCCTCTTTCAATACATATTCTTCTATGTTTTCTTTTTCGGGATCTTCAGTTTCTTCTACCTCATCATGATATACATAATTAACCTTTTTAGTCTGCTTAACTCCAGGACAATTAATCTTTGTATGACCAGCCTTTCTACAGATTGAGCAAAGACGAACAATTCATTTAACTGATGCTTTTTGTACTAACTTTCTAACAGCTTTCTTTGTAGCATTTGTATTTCTAACCTGTAACCCTGAAAAGGGACTCCTTCTAACATGAGTCATTTACGCTCTAGTCTTTTACCAAAATCATCGTAAATAAAATGATCTAGAATATCAATATCTGATGCTAGTCCTGTATATTGCAAATCTCCTGCAAGGCGTTTCATAAAAGCAATTGCTTTAAGCCCTTCATCTAATGATTCTTTTTGTGGTTAAGTAGTAAAGCTAACTGGAACGGAAGCTTGTATTCTTTTGCCTGCACTTTTATGCCATTTATTATGCAACTCAGTAAAAAATGCATTGACTGTAGTGGGGTTAGCAATTCTAACTCTCATTTCTAAATCAGAAGGCAAATGATTAAATAGATAAGGTATTGTATCAGCATCTTGCATTGCTTATACTAATGGTTTGATTCGTTTTTCATAACTATCTGGGGTATCTGTTTCAAAGAATTTTTTATTAACAAGAGCAAATATCGCACTTCGGTTAGTCCCTACCATAACTTCTCTATATCTTTCACGTAACTAGGCTAGAAAGAGAGGTTCACTATTAATAATTGGAGTAGCTACAGTGTATGGATTATTAGCAGGAACAGGTGCAAACCTTCCAGTCATCTTATTTTTCATAATACTACTTCTTACTTGTGCATTAAACTCAGCGACAGCTAATAGACGTACCATTTCATTTATATTTCTAAGCTTTTGGTAGTATATATCTGGAGGCTCTTGATCATCATAATCAGGTAACTGTGCGAGTGCTGGAGAAATAGTATGCATAACATTTTGAATAGTAGCCATATTTCCTAGAGGATTGTTTTGTAAATTCAAAATAATTTGCCTCAAATTTAATTCCTTAACCTTCCATTTTTGATACCGATTAAATACCCAGGCCCAATTAAATTCTGCCAAGTCAGCCTCAGCTTTACGTCTTCGATTTATTAGTTGAAGGCCTACCTTTTCTTGTAATAATATATGGTTACGCCTTTCTGCTCTCTGAGTTCTAAACCACCATATCCGACGCTCATTTGCTTCATTATTATATGCTAAAGTTAATAATTGAGCTTTTCAAAGATATTCATTTCTAACATTTGCCATATCATTCATAATATTATTGATCTGTCCATTAGCCATATTAAGCAAACCTTGATAATGTAAGGCTTCATTTGATATCCTTTGCATATGAGTACGAATAGTTATTAATGTTATTCGTATACCATTCAAGGTATTTTTAGGGTCAAATTATCTATCTCCATCAACATATAATTCAACTCAGTCTATAGCTATAGTAATATCTCTTAAAAATTCTGGTAGTGTCATATTTTTTTGATGTTTTTCTTCAGAAGGTTTATTACTCTTATTTACTTTTTTATCACTAGACTCGATAAAAGGGCTATTGCCTTTTTGACTGAAGGAGTCTGATATCTTGCGAATTTGACTTTTGAGCTTTTCTATTGTATCTTCTAACAAAATGATTCAGTTATCTTGAGCGATTAATGCCTCCTCCTTTAGATCCAAATGATCCTGACATATTTTGAGATTATGTAAGATGGAGCGGTATTCTGCTTTTAATCTATCTATCTCATCTTCTCGTGAGATAAGATTTTTTTCAAGATATTTAATATATAACTCACATCGCTCTTTATCATTGGTGAGCTTTCGAATCTTTTCCTTATTTTTTATAGTAATAGTTTCCTCTTTAGTCAACTTTATTCGCAATTCTAAATTGCTATCTAGTAAATCGTGATATACTCACTCAACTCCTATTGATTCCTATTATCACAATAGATTCTGGTAAGACTTGAAATGTAGATGTGTCTTTAGCTTTACGCAAAATTTATTATCAACCTGTTGGATATCAGAGAACTGCTAAAAAATTACACAAAGTTTCTAAAAAAGCTGGGTATGATTTTTCTCTTGATGAGGTGCGTGATTAGCTTAAGAAACAGGCTGTGCATCAGATACATAAACCTCGTCCTAAATTTATTCAGTATGCTTCCTTTAATAATATACAATTTTTAAATGAAGTATACCAATCTGATACTACCTCTATGCTTCATGATAAAGTAGGTAATCGGATTTACAAGTATAGGGGTATTATTAAAGATGTTACAACTAGGTATTGTCGTAGTTTTGCATTGACTGATAAATCTTCTGCACAAATGGCTAAGAATATTCAAAAAATTTATGATGATCCTAAGGAGCCTCTCTCTTGACCGAATTGTTTTAATTCTGATAAGGGGACAGAATATATGGGGATTGTAAGAGTTTATTGCTTAAACATGATGTAAAAATACAATATACCAAAACTAAAAAAGATAATGCTATAGCTGAACGTGATCACTAGGAATTTGAAAAGCCTGCTTATATTCAGCAAGATGCTAAAGATTTTCTGCTACCTTTATCAGAACGTTCTAGAGATTGGGTTAGGAGCCTTCATGTTAATGATGATATATTTAATAATATTACTACTCAGCTAATAGATATGACTCCTAATGAAGTGGTAGAAAGAGCACTAAATGGGAGAAAATAATTGCTAAGCTAGCTGTAAAACATAGAAGACCTATTGGATATGACGAACTTTATTTATCCTATTATGACTCTGTGAGATATTTTCTTAAACTAGGTGAATTAGAACATGGCCCTGCTAGAAGAAGGATTACTGATATGAACTGGAATCCTGAAATTTTTAATATTGGGAGAATTCTTGTACAAAAAAATCAGCCAGTTTTGTACTGGCTAATAGATGAAGAGGGTAATGGTTCAGATAGATCTTTTGTACGAGAAGAATTGATGGTGATTAAATATTGTGATTTGTCTCTTAAATGGATACTCAATCAATAAATTTCTGCTTGTTTTTAATTTTATTCATCATCATACGCAATTAGCTCTTCTATTGTTTTGCTAATTTCTTCTTCAGTCATAGGACGCTCTTCTTTGAATAAAGTATAGTAAAGGCTGTATAAGTTTTCAATACTAGCAAAGAGTTCTTTTTTACCTTAATACTATTTCCGATATCTGCTTATTTTTCTTTCATAAGCATCCTCATTTGGAAATAGCATTATAGCGGTTGATTTTACATACTCATCAGGATTTTCCTTATGACGCAAAATTTTTACATAATTAGCATATTCAGTAACTAGCTTACTATCTTTTTTATATCAAATGCATAATGCCTCTCTTATTATTTTAAGTTGCGCTTCCTCAATGCTTTTCCATGTAATATTACTTGCTGGAGTGTTATCTGTCATTGTATGCTAACACTAAGTCTTTGCTGTATATTAAAATAGTTAGTTTAAATTGCGAATAAAAAATTCTAGAAAAAAAATATTATAATATTAGATGTGATAGCTGAGCCTATCTTTTATAAATCCAAATCCGCCAATATTTCTTAAGGTATAATTGCCCCATATTGTTCCAATGCAGTTAGATATGCCAGGATTCAACCATCCCCAATTGCCCATGTCGTTACTTGATCATTTAATATCCATCTCTTAGAGTCAAGTGGGTTGATACTCCTTTTTGTCTGGTGGATTATATATAGAATGAAACGTTCACATCGCAAGAAGTTTGCAGTTCGGGGTTCATCCTCTACTCCTTCTAGAATACAACGCTCATAAATATCAATAGTTAGCTCTTTTTTGACGAGAGATTTTTTGAGACCCTTTGCCTTCTGTACATTTTTATATTCATCTTCAGTTTCCAATGCATAAGATTTTGATCGGTTTTCAGCATATCTTAACGCCTGAGTTCTTGCAAATTCATCTTTTCACTTACCAATTACTTTCTTATTTTTTAGCTCACGTAAACCATCCGGATGATTTATCCATTGATCTGGTGGGAGTTTTTCAAATAATGGGTGGCCTTCAGGATAATCACTAAATCATAGAAGTCTGCATTCTCAACCATATCTGCATAGACGTCTACAGTCTCAATTTCGATAATTAGTGAGTCAGTATCAGTATAACATAATTTTGCATAATCTCCATACTTGTGCTTAATATGTCTATACCAGAAATCGTATATATAATATTTACTAAGATCTAAAATCGAAGCTTTGACATAGATTGGCTTATTTAGTACAACATTTGTTTGTTTTCGATGTATTGCTATAAGATTACTTCCATGAAATATCTTACGTCTAACTAGTGCCAGATCTGCCAACATTTTGCGAAGCTGATGTTCCTCTCCTATTGGTCGTATTAGATCTACCCGTGTATGATGTCAGACATCCTCCATAGTTTTTCCGAATACTGCATTGTTCATTAATTTCTATAGATCTTTTTCGAAAGCATTTTTAGCATCACGACGTCGCATAGTGTTGGCCATAATATATAGCTCCATCCATGAAGACTGGTCAAATTCTAGTACTCAATAAACATGTTCGAGTTCCATTCCTAGTTTGAAACATTGCTGAAGATTTTGATAATGAATAATATAGTGATTTTTAGTCTTCAATGTTGCTACCAATTTTTCTGTCTCGGCAAATTTACCCCACTCAATTTATCAATTAAGTTTTTATTTTGATGAGGACTAAGCTCATTGCGCTTAACTACTCGACATTCTGGGCAAAGTGGATAGTCAGTATGTGTTGGATGAAGGTGTTCCAAATATTTTAATTTTACTTCTCAAGCACTACCTCGTTTAGCAGTTAGAGAAATAGACCGAATATCAGGCAGTTTGTCTAGCTCAAGCCATCAGAATCCTCCTGTCGGTAAATATTGTGACATAGCCTATCTGTATAAATTATTAGCATCTAAATATAGGAGCCATTTATTTGCCTTATGTTTATTATAGCCTTTCATTCTGGAGAAATTTGCTTTTGCTAAACATTGTAGGGTCATAGAATTTCTGCCTCGTATTTAGCATTAGACGAATTTGTGCATATCTTCTTGCCCTTTATGAAATAATTCGAGCTTGATCTTAGTTATCTTTTTTAGTATGTCAAATGCGAATGATGGTAATGTTATATAATTCAGAGGGTCTAGTCCGGATACTTCCTTCATTGTTATTCAGAATCGCTGAATTGAGTTCACTAATATTAGAACATCAGTTCTGAGATATAAATTGTGATAGTCCTCAAATGTCTCACACTTTGCTTCCTTCCATACTTTCTGTGCGTGAGCATATTGCTTCTGACTAATAGTGTAAATCTTCTCATACTCACAATCGTTGACCTCCTTTAAATCTACTTCCTTACATTCTCCATTGCACTTTTTACCCTTTATTTCATGTTTACATTTTTTACAACCATTTTTACAATAATTTAGTCCGCCTAGCACTGTGTTAAATTCTTTTTTTGATGGAAGCTCCACCCTAGAGAAGCGCTTGAGATCATTTAATTCATATGGATACTTACTTTTTTGTGTGAGTAGTGGGAGTAAATTCTGAGGTATGCTCTGTGTCATTATCGGAAAATATTTAGACAATTGCTCTAGAGTCTTTTCTTGACCACGCAAATTATTTGCTACTTTTTCTAATGAGGGAATTGGAATTGGATGGAATCTATGAATCTTATTTGACCAATTGTTA